CCGACAACGAACATTCACCTGCCAAAGGGGACATTAATAACTATACCGGTACTTGGACTACATCGAGATCCGTCAATATATCCAGATCCAGATAAATTTGATCCCGAACGATTTAATGCAGACAAAGTAGCAAAAAGGCATCCTTATGCTTATTTGCCATTTGGAGAAGGTCCACGAATTTGCATTGGTAGGAACATAAATTGAGCTATTAATGTATTTCATTCATGCAGAATGTCTTAGGATTGAACGGCTAAACTGCGAAAGTATATTCTACAAGTGGAAATAAGAAAAAAATGTTACATAAAGTATTGATTATAAATTATTGAGAAAGGTCCAACAAAAGAACTTATTAATGGTTTGCGTTTTCTTCTAACTGGATGGAAAAGAAATAAATTTATATATATATAGATTTATATATATAGATAAGCACACTTATAAGGGATTGTTGAACACTGGCAGGATTATTTCTAATTTCTAGAGCTTACGAGTTGCCAAAAATTCACAAGCCGAATAATCCGCTTAGAATTATCTTCGAGTTTATTATACGCTTTAGCCTTTTATACTTACGTAATATCATCAGTGGCAACATACCAAAGGCGCCTATATAGCTACGTTGAAAACAGCTTTCATTTAATTAACAATCTTGATGGACTATGTTTAGAATTTAATTGTAAATTAGCATCTTTGAATGCTGTATCGTTGTTTACAAATATCCCAACAGATTTGGCCATGGAGAGCATATCAAAAAGATGGAACGACCTATCAAAAAATGTTCATATACCTAAAGATGAATTTCTTATCTCGGTTCGACTAGTTTTGCATATATTCCACTTACTTCTCTTTTAACAACGTGTTTTACAAGCAGGTTTTTGGCATCCCGATGGGTTGCCCGTAATCCCCTGTTATCGCAAATATTGTCTTGCAAGAAGCAACAGACATTGCAATAAATAAACTTCCATGTCATTTGTCAATTTATTTTTGGTATGCATGACACTTGTTTAGCCGCACCTTTAGAACTTATGAATGATATCTTAACAGTTTTCAATTCTTTACACGATCGCTTAAGGTTTACCATCGAAATTAATAAAAATGATTGTATTGATTTCCTTGATGTTACAGTGATTGCTGACAGACGGGGAACTATTTTTAAGACCGATATAATAAACCTACCTTTTCAGGCAAATTTTTAAACTTCCATTTACAGCGTATTATCTGCCACAAAAGAAGTTTTTTTAATAAACAGAATTTTGTTGCTTTTCCGTCCAAAATTCTACAAAAAAAATTTAGACTACTTGATTCATATCTTTTGTATAAAAATGCATGACATCGATACTCACATCTATATCGAAGTTTGAAACATTTTATCTGCGATTCTGATTGGTTCTGTCATTGCGCTTACTTTGCAACCTGCTGTCATTGTATATTTTGACAGTTGTGTGTACTGAGATTGATAGAGTGCATAGCAAATATACACGTAAAAAAATGATTAGCATTATCAGCTAAATATCAGTAGCTAGTTTGAACTTTGCTGTCATTGCTAAAAGTTAGCTATTAAAGATAAAATATATTTGTTGTGAGATATAATTTTATTATCTAAAATAAAAG